TTTTGTTGAGACCACCTACATTTCAATTTTTCCCGTTCACTTGAAAACAAATATACATCAATGTCTAAATATGGTATCCACTCACATTTTAAAATTCATATGCAATACCCTGGTAGGTGATTTTCGAATCACTGAAACATCTTGCGTGAAGTATGAAAGACGCGGTTCGAACTTCTGCCGCGAAAACCAAATGATTTGATTTTGAACTTGAATTTTTCTTTTTCACAGCTTAATGTCAAAATTCATGTCTTTCAGTGAGGAATATTGCGTTGATATACACTTTCTTCATCAAAATTGACCGTCATCAAAATTGACCATCTTCAAATGTGTACAGCACATTATTAAACATGGAAATGCCCCAAAAAATTGTTTCACGTTTGTCAAATCCCGCATGATGTTTTGAAGACGCTACGACTTTTTTATGTGTCTCGTGTTATATATAATCAACTAACTGTTTATTTTTGTGAAATGTACAGTGTCGTGCATGCTTTAATTAGTCGTTACTACCTTCTTTGTACAGTGGTATTTTTTGCTCTTTTTCTAATCTCCAAGCTTTGACTAAGTTTACCGTTGGTGACCTGCTTACTGAATGTTTGATATATTTAACACACTAAATTATTATTTTGAGCACATAAAACTGCATATAAATGATGATAAAGCTTAGCAACAAATTATTCACAATACATGTAGTACATTGATGTGGTTACTGTCAGTCACTTTAATTTCCTGAAGAAAATTTTTTGCAAATTTCGTTAAAATCATTAAACATTGCAGCATCAAAATTTTAAAATTTAAACTCAGAAATGTTATAAAAATGATCAAATCCTAAAATCCAGTTGCTAAAATTATGCAGGTTACAGTATGTTAACATTTTCTGTACAAGGGAATTTTTAATGGTTTATTTGCTGATCTGGTCTTTATTTTTACATTGTTAGTGTTCATTTCCATGAATATTTCACTATTAAAATTTACCTTTGGCAGAGACTGATCAATTCTCATTCTTGTGAGTATGTCAACAACGAAAAACTTGATGCTTTGAGAATGTTTTATTTGGATGATCTTAATAATAACCTGTATTATTATACGTCTGTCACCATAACGCCATAAGTTACAGCGTGCTGTAATTTTGCGGTATTTTACAGGTATTTTCATCCTACCATATTAGGAAATGCGAATTCCAAATATGAAATGATTACGTGTGTAAGCGTTCTCTACTTTGTGCATACTTTGAGGTATCTTCGTAATAGCCTCATATTAAG